CTGACAAACCTGAGTGCTGTTGAATTTGGGGCAGGGCACAATGGCAAAAGGAAGAGTGACAATGTAACAGTCTATCAAGCAGTTACAAGAGCAGAGTCTCACCGAGGGCAGTACTAAGCATGTATACTCACAATTAAGCCCAGTTTTATTCCGGGAGACTTGTTTCCAGGAAAGTGTTCTTAGGATTGTAGGATAGTTATCCAGAGCAGCAAACAAATTTGACATGGTAGTTTTAATAAGGGTCAGGCACAATGCTCCCTCTAAGCTGTGGAGTCTTGTGAGCAAAAATTTTACTTTGTGAGCTACTGGCATTAAAGTTGTGAGTGAGCTATTTGGGTACTACATAAATTAGTTTGCTCTGGAGCCATCCTTCCTGAGCTAAGACAAACATGTGAGCCGGAGGCTAAAAAACTGTGAGCTAGCTCACACTAACTCACCTTAGAGGGAACACTGGTCAGGGAGTACAACCTAACTTCAATAAGAACATAAGAAGATCCCTGTCTCACACAGTGGCCAACCAGATACTTTTTCCAGCTCTGCAGTATCCTTTTGGAGATAGGGTGACCTTTCCAAATGAGACCACACCATAGATCTATTACAGTGTTGGCCATTTTATTCTCAATCCCTTTCCTAATAATCCCCAACATAGAATTTGCCTTTTCACTGCTGCAGCACACTGAGTTGACACTTTCATTGCGCTATCCACTTACAACCCCAAGATCTTTTTCTCAGTCTCAGCAAGTTCAGACCCCATTAGCCTGTACTTGAAGTTGGGATTTTTTTGTCCCAATTTTTTGTCACCTTATATTTACCAATATTGAACTTCATTTGCCACATTATAGCCCACTCACCCAGTTCATGGAGGTCCTCTTGGAGCTCTTCACAGTAAGCCTTGAATTTCAACATCCTGAATAATTTTGTGTCATCTGCAAACTTGGCCAGTACACTATTCACCCCTAGTTCCCGATCATATATGAATAAATTATTTTAGACTTGGCAGAACCTTTCCTAACCTGTGGAATGCATTCTGTTTGGTCTTCAATAGTGCAGTTTTAAATAGCTTCCACGGATCCTCTAGGGATTTCTCTCTTGTGTTTCCCCTTCAGCTTCCTTTTACTATTCCCCTCTTTCTTGTAAAGTTCTCTTTTTTTTAATCAAATGTTATAGTTTTGGACTTTAGGGGTAATTTTCCATTGATCTGAATGCTGAACTGAATAGCTTTGTGGTCACTGTTCCCAATTGGTGTAAAAACCTCTGCATTTCTCACCAGGTCTTGAGACCCGCTCAGAACCAAGATCACTATCCCTCTGGTTGTCCCTGTGACCAACTGTTCTAGTGCACAGTCATTTATGATGTCTGGGAATCTTATTTGTACAGCATGACTCGAGAACATGTTTACCCAGTCAATGTGAGAGTAGTTAAAGTCTCCCAGTATAATATTATCTGCTTTAGTCACACACACCCTTATCTCCTTCTCCACCTCAAAATAAGCCTAAGGGGTTTGGTCAGGTGAGCGATAGTACGCCCCCACTCTTAAGTAACCCTTAAAGCCCATTATTTCCACCCATATCATTTCTGTTGGTGAGTTAATTCCCCTGATGTTTTCTAACTTATTTGATTCTATGCCTTCTTTGATGTACAATGCAACACCAACATCCACCCGTCCATCCCTGTCCTACCTATAGAGTTTATGCCCAAGAATGACTTATACCCAGGATCACTTACACAAGTTGTTTGCCCTGACTTGGATGCTGCTGGGAAGAAGAATCCCCCCCCCCCACTTTCCCACAGTGTTGTGGTGCTTCTATGCACTTTTGGGCTTTCCCCATCTTGTCTGCAATCTTGTTTTTGCTGCAATACTTTGAGATAGTCAGGGTGACATACATGGAAGGGAGAGTCTGGCTTCCCAGTCACAACCATTTTAGTACCATTTCTCTGTCCCCAGTCACCAGCCATTTCTCCCTGCCACTGGATGACTGTTGGGTTTTTTTAGTCAGCAGTTGAATATCACCATAATAATGAGTCCATTGTGTTCTCCAAATTTCCAGCTTTTGTTTGACAGCAAAAGTAGGTCTCAAGCTCCTTTCATTGCAAAGATGTACCTTTCTCCTTATATCCCTGCAAGGAAAGAGACTTACTTTTTTAAGAAATGAAAGCTATCAGAGAACCTGATAGCCTTGTTATTAGGATGTTATAACAATATTAAATTGCTGATTTTTAAAAAATCTGGAAAAACCCCTTATGACATAGAGAGGGGAAATAGCTCCTGCAAAGGGACTGGACTAGGAGTATGCAGTGAAACCTACTATGTGGCAGCCTGGCTGCTGCTGCACTGTATCTGCAGCCACCGAGCTATGGGGAGACCACACAATACCTTCCCCATGTGAAAAGCATCTTGTGCCAACTTCTTGCTGTAATAAGGTATCCTGGTTGGTGTGGTGGGTCTCCCCGTGATAGGCCAGTGCCAGGTGGAAGTACATAGTCTACATTTCTGCCTGAGGTTCCTGGTTCAATTGCCAATAGGAGAGGCTTCACTCCAGATGTTTCAAAGGTTGTTTGCTGGTTAAGCTGCTTGTACCTCAATATGTAGTGTGGGAAAGTGGCCTTTACAAACCTGCTTTCCCTCTTCCGTTCTGTTTTGCTCTAAACGTTTCTTATAAGTAGAAACAAAATGTTTTAAAGCAGGTTGCATAGTATGCTTGTGCAACTATGATATAAGGAGACATGTATAAAGTTTCAGGTTGTTAGACTTTCGTCATGCTCTGTATGGAGCTTAGTAAAGTACAAGCACACCCTTGCTTTTCTGCCCAGTAGGGATCTTGTATTTCATAATAGAACTAGCTGTGTTGTATAACAGCACTGCAGCCAGCATTTACAATCTAAATGAACTGCCACACTCTTGTGAAGTAAGGTGCATATATTGTGGCAGTTTGTCATGGCCTTATTATCTTGAGTTAAATCAACAGTTTACCAAAATGCATTTTTATATGTGTAATTTATTGCATTATTATCACATTGAAAAGAAATTTGGTGGCATTTGTGTACTATTAGTAGAATAAGAAAGTTATTAAGTGCATGATAAATGTTGTTTAGTCCTGTGGAAACATCCAATGATTCCCCCCATCTTTAGAGGGAATCTTAAATATCTTAATAAGGTGCTTGTATCTCTCTTCCTAGAGAAGGCTTCCAAAAACATCACATGTTGTTTTCCTCTGAGAAATTCACAAGATGGTGTATGCAGGGCCTGATATCACTGAATTGTTTTGGAATAGAGTACACTTTTTTTTTTAATCACTTTGTGGAGACCAAAATGGGAGTAGTAGCATCGGATTGAGTTCTTTCTTTGGTTTAACTGTTGAAATTACATGCTGCTCTCATTTCATACCTAGATGATGTTCGATTGTGTTTGACTGCCATCTTCAGTTCTGTTCAGTTATTGCTTCTCTAAAACGTCTACTGTTTTAGAAAGTGTGTGTGTGTTTGTGTGTGTGTGTCTGTGTGTGTGTGTGGTTTGCAATTGCCTTCCTTTGCACAGCAACCCTGGAATTCCTTGGTGATCTCCCATCGAAATACTAACCAGGGCCGACCCTGCTTAGCTTCCAAGATCTGACAAAATCAGGCTAGCCTGGGCCATTAATCCACCCTAATCCTCCTTCTAGCCCAAGTCATCCATCAGGGTGACCCGAGTGGTTTCTGTACCAAATTTATGTTGGAATCCATATTGAAGTGGGTCCAAATAATCAAATTTCGTACAAAAGTTGAAGCTGAGAAACTGCCACCTAGTCAGGCTATTCACCCAGAAAGGGGAGAATTTTGAGGCCAGCTGGGAGCTGAAACAATGTTGAGGGTCCGGTGGGAGGGGGGCTTCTGGTTGAATGTTGTTCTACCTTTTCTTGTGGGGATGCACTATTATCAGTATAATGTATAGGTATGCCCTTAGATAAGTGCATAATCCACCTAGAAAAACCCATATTCAGAAACATGCTTTCAGATGTGGGTTGCCTTTCTGGTTTATCACCAAAGGGTGTTGCCTAGGGAACAAGAGAAATCCTGCTTCTAGCAACTAGAACTACATATGGAATGGTCCTACAAACTTAATAGACTGTCTGTGTGTGAAGGATATTTCTGGCATGCTTCTTTCCCCCAGTCTAAAAGATGTTGAGAAGATCCTGACATCTGGTCATTAAAGATACAGATAATGGGTTGGAACCAGCACAGAATATCCACATGCACACAAGCAAAAGCACAAGAAAAAGTAGCCACAGTAGCCACTTGTGCTAAGTCAGACTTACTGTATCCTCACATGTATTCCCAGTTGTGCAAAATCTTGTGCAACCAAGTTCTGGGCTTTATAATGTATTGGGAAGCGAGTTCTAGGTGTTGTATAGCATCCTGGGCAACTAGAACTGTTCTAAGTCCTTTTGTTTCCACTTGCACATTGCAGGATCCATGCCAAAGAATCTTATTAAGAAGAGTCCACTAACTCTCATATCTTAAATGTGTTGATTTACCTATTCTTGATCAATATCCAGCATAGCAATGATTGCGGCCTCAGCACCTTGCATGATTATACATGATATGGAAAAATGCAACTACTTTTGAAGAACTTCTTATGATTTATTTTTCCTATTCCCCTTTTGCAAAGTATTTGCAGTAGTATATGCATGTTACTGTTCCTATTTTAAGTAGCATTCCTTCCAAAATTGAATTGACTTTTGACCTGAAGTGTATCCCAGTGTTTTTTTCCTACTGTGTTCAATTTTCTTCATGAAGCTTCATGTGAATGCAGCCATGTCTTTTGCAGAAATGCTTCTTATTAAGTGTGTGGTGTTTTAAGCAGTTGGACCAGCCTCTTTATGTACCACAAGCATAACATCAGTTTAATACCTTGCACTGTTGCAGCAAGCGCTGTAAGATTATGTAAGCAGCTCATTGAGCCTTTTGAAATGAAGCTCCAATAGCTCTTGAACGCATTCGTTTGCAACATTTTCTTTTCCCAGGTTTCCTGAACAGCTTTGAGGAGTTGCAAGCAGAAGTATGTGGCATTCTGAATGGATGTGAAAATGGACGCTGTGTAAGAGTCCAGGAAGGCTATACCTGTGACTGTTTTGATGGCTACCATTTGGACATGGCCAAAATGACATGTGTTGGTAAGAATTTGTAATAGCATACAGGCTATTCACATAAAGGCACAGCATGCCAGACAGAGAGGACCTTCTTTCATCTCTGATTTTGGGGATCAGGTCTTCTGGATCATTGTTTATGATCATATGGTCCAAGACATTTCCATCACCCCAACTGAGATGAATAGGCATTTTCCTCATTTTAAAGGGAGTTGCACAAAAGTAATTCCTAGCAGAGAGCCAGTGTGGTATAGTAGTTTGATAACCAGACTAGGTGGGGGACATGGGTTCAAGTCCTCAATCTTCCATGCCAGCTTGGTGGGTGATCTTGAGCCAGTCATTACTCCCAGATTAACCAACCTCATAGTATTGAAGACTAAATATTTATTTATTTGTTTAACAAAAATATACATTGTCTTTCTGCCCTCATAAGGACCACCAAGGAGTCTAACAAATTAGAACATATATAATAAAATTGCATTTTAGAAACCATTAAAACCAACAAAAATAATTAAAATAATTAAACCAGAGCTAAAATACATACAAAAACATTAAAAGAACAATTAAAACATTGGGCAGGAATGGCAGAAGATAGCAACAGAAGGAGACAGACTAGTATCTCTGGGGAGAAAGTTCCAGCGTTATGGTACCACAACTGAGAATGTCCTCTCCCAAGTTGCCTCCCACCTAATCTCTAAAGGCAGTGGCACCCAAAGCATGGTCTCCAAAGATCACCATAGTGGTCAGACAGGTCCATAAGGGAGTAGTCAGTCTTTCAGGTATATTAGCACCAAATCATAATAGGGCTTTATAGGTCAACACCTTGAATTATGTCCAGAAACAGATTGGGAGCCAGTGTAGATGGAACAAAATTGGAGTGATATGGTCCTTAGGACCCACTCCAATCAGTATCCTGGCTTTCTGCACTAAGTGAAGTTTCCACACACATCTCAAGGGCAGCCCCATGTAGAGTACATTGCAGTAATCTACATGTAGCCAGGGCATGCATCACAGCAACCAGATCTTTTTTGCCCAGGAAAGGCCACAGGTGGCTAACTAAGCAAAGCTGGCCACAGCTGTCACCTAATTATCCAGCAGTAGGCCCGGGTCCAAGAGCACCCACCCCCCAGACTGTGGACCTGGTCATTCAAGGAGAGCACAACCCTGATAAAAGGGTGACACCATAAATCCCAGGTAAGACCTTCCACTTACCAATAGCACTTCTATCATCAGTTTATCAGCCCATATCCACTCCAAAATCACCTCCAGGCACCAGTTTAGGGATTTACCAGAGGTGCAAGATACAGCTGAGTGTCATTCACATATTGTTGTCAGCTCAGCCCGAATCTCTGGATGACCTCAACCAGTGGGTTCATGTAGATGTTAAAGAGCATAGGAGACAAGGTGGAACCTTAAGGGGACTCCACAAGCTGAAGGCCAAGGGGCTGAGCAGCAGTCCCACAACACCATTTTCTGAAATCTACCTTCCAGGTAGGACTGGAACCACCACAAAATGGCATCTTGCAATCCCAGCCTGGAAAGGCAGTCCAAAAGGATGCCATGATTGATGGCATTGAAACCCATTGAAAGGTCGAGAAGAATCAATATTTGCACTCCGTCTGTCTATCTCCCAGCGCAAGTCATCTACCAGAGCAATCGAGGCTGTTTCAGTCCCATAACCAGGTCTAAACCCAGACTGGAAAAGATCTAAAGAGTTCACTGCATCCAGGGAAGGTTGAAGTTGTCCAGCCACCACCCATTCAGTCAGTCACCTTACTCAAGAATGGATCGTTTTGACTGATCGATAGTTATTGAGTTATTGGGCAAAGAAGAACTGTGTATGCTATCCTCAGCTCTGTGAAGGAATGGTGAAATAAAACTTCCTAGGTAGAGCCACAAAAGCCTGTGCAAGCTGCACAGATCCAAGAAGTATCAGTATTTTTCAGGTATATTTTGGCTTCCCAAATGTATCCGGGTTTTCTCAGGAAAACCAACAAATATTCCTGAGAAAATCCAGATATATTCGGGAATTACCAGTAGGTCCAGAAACAGTGGCGAGGTGGGAGCAAATTGCTCCCAGCTCTCTGCTGTTTGTCAGGCTTCTACTGCAGTCCCTTTAAAGTTTAAAGAAGACAGCCTGAGGGTCAGCTGTGCCCAGGGGAGCATACTGTTCTGTCAGCTTGGCTTGGGGTGGCTTCTCCTGCAGCCTGGTTTAAACTGGGCTGCAGGAGAAGCCAGCCCCAGAAGCTGCTGTGCTGCAGGGAGCAATTTGCTAGCTGTAGCACAGCAGATCCTGGGGGCAGCTTTTCCTGCAGCACGGTTTAAACCATCCCAGCTAGGTCTGTGTGCAGCAGGGAGAAACCTCCCTACAGCACACCAATCCTGGGGCCAGCTTTTCCTGCAGCGCAGTTTAAACCACAATGCAGGAGAAGAAGAAGAGTTGGATTTATACCCCGCCCTTCACTCAGAGTCTCAGAGTGGCTTACAATCTCCTTCTCATCCTCTCCCCACAACAGAAACCCTGGATTGGGCTGGCTTTTTTTTTTTTACTGAGAAATTAAGATTAAATTTATTTATTTATTTATTAAATTTATATCCCGCCCTCCCCAAACGGGAATTTGGAAATTCGAGATTCCCAAAAAAAACCCTGGATCCAAATACAATACCAGTATTGGGATCTGGGATTTTTCAGAAATACTGAAATTTTGGGGGGGTCCAATAGACCGAACCCAAAAATACTGATTAAAAATAAATTGCACACCCCTAGTGAGGAGTCAGTGCACAATGTGTGTCCTGCATGGTAGCTTTCCCAGAGTGAGTGCAGGAATTTTCTGGGCAACAGTACCTGCCTCTTCCCAGGGCAGCTGTCATTTGGGAGGCACATTGAAGCACTGAACTAGGTATCCCCAAAACCACAGTGTTATTGGTGTATCTCATACTAGAATTTCTATGCCCGTTTTAACTTTTAGATGGCTAATACAGTAGAAGTCGCTCTTAAAAACGGGATGGCCTCCTCTTTCCACAGCAACCTGTGGCTACCCCTGAAAAGCTGATGATAGAGATGGGGAAGGAACCTCATGGACTGAACACCATTCTAGGCAGGGGGCTGCAGTGATGAGGGGGAATCTGGCAAAAGTAGTTCTCTTACACCTGTGTCAGTGGAAGGCTTCATCTGCTGAACTTTCTCCACTAGCAGAAAATCATGTTGGGAATGATTTAGTCCAGTTACCATTGCTCGCTGCATCCCCCTCCGTACCACATTGCATTTTGGCCACAAGGCTCCCCTTGACCCACAGTATTAGATTATTGGGTTCACGAGGAGCTGCTACAGAAAGGAGAAAACAGGGAATATATGGTTCTGTTAATCCCTTTCTCTCATCTTTCCTATGACTCAACCCAATATTTTATCTATTGAGATATAACAAAAATATTTTCCTTTGTCATGTACTTTTTAAAAAAAACAATGGTGAGACTTCGCATTTATATAATGCTTTGAGTGTTCAGAGTGTATCACATACATCCTCTTGCTACAATCCTTAAAACAGCCCTGTAAAGTAGGCTAGTATTATCCCCATATTATCGATGTAGGCCTGAGGTTGAGAGAGAGTGGACTCTAAACTGAATGATTTCATAGCAGAGACAAGGTTTTAACTATGACCTCCAAGATGGCAGTTCATTTTCTTAGCTACTCCAGTTTACAATTTAAATTTGTGCATAAGATTGTATACAAACAATGGGTACTAAAAGTGGCCAATTTTGAAGAAAACCTAAGGACATTACCCCATGATGTTGAACGATAAAACTGAAAAACAGTTCACTTTGCACCAGATACCCTTTTAATGCTCCAAACTATAGAGGTCTCTCATTGTTTCTGATCTTTGCAAAGTCCCATGGTTTGCTTGACAATACTTAAACATGAGCTAGGTAATGCCTTATCCTCCGGATGACAGATGTTGGTTAAGCAATACTTAGGTAAAAGGTAAAGGTTCCCTTGCTCGAAAGCCAGTCGAATCCGCCTCTAGGGTTGCGGTGGTCATTTCTGTTTCAAAGCCGAAGAGCCAGCACTGTCCGAAGACGTTTCCGTAGTCATGTGGCCAGTATGACTAAACACCAAGGCGCACAGAACGCTGTTACCTTCCCACTGAAGTGGTACCTATTTATCTACTTGCAATTTCTTGCTTTCGAACTGCTAGGATGGCAGGAGCTGGAACTAGAGATGGGAGCTCACTCCATCATGCGGCACACTCGGGTCTCAAACTGCTGAACTACTGACCTTCCACAGCCTGCAGTTCAGCATCTTAACCACTTGAGCCACTGCAGCTCCCACAAATACTTGAATTAGTCCAATTTCACAAATACTTGAATTACCCCAATTTCACCTTTATGCTACCTTCCAAATTGAACCTATGGAAATTTACTGAACCTAAACTTCAAGAATTAGGCAAAGTAGTCACCAGATCAGACTGGCAGTTCTTTGATTTTATTTGCTTTTTCTTCCAGATGTGAATGAATGTAATGAACTGAATAACAGGATGTCTCTCTGCAAGAATGCCAAGTGCATTAACACAGAAGGATCGTACAAATGTGTCTGTCTACCTGGCTATATCCCTTCAGACAAGCCTAACTACTGCACACCCCTGAACTCAGATACAGACAGTGAACTGGAGTAAGAGAAGCAGTAGGTGCCATGTAACTTTAAGCCCATATACTCTGCACTGTATAAAGAAAAGGAAAGAAAGAAGTGTATTTAACTTGAGTTAAGGATGCTCCTAATCCAGAGTTTGGCTGTATATGGAAAACAAGCATGAAAACATAGCTTTGGAAAAATGAAAAATGATGTGTTAATCTACATGAGCTTCACTAAAGTGACAGACCAAATGGACACATTTTCTGTGTATGGAGGAAGCAATGAAGTATATAGTGTGTTCATAAGTAAAATTCATGGGAATAAGCAAAGTGTGCTATTATTTTTGAACAGAAAAGGGTTTTTAACTATTGCTTGATTTATTTGTCATTTAATTAGTCGTGGAAATATTTTATATTACTTGTTAATTTAGCAGTTCTTTGCCTACTGTTTCTTTGGACGCTTCCCTTCCCACCTTTGATCCAATTGCAATATAAACAATTTTCTAAACATTGTTATACACAAGGTAATGCTCGTCTTTGTCTGGAACATTGGCCAGTTACTTTTTTAAATTGCTAATTGTCTGCCCTGTGGAGCAGGCCCTGTTTTCTTTTTTTTTAAGTGCACACATCATGGAGAGAAATCCTTTATATTAGTTTTGTATTTTGTGTGGCCTTGTTACTGCACTTAACATGCCTTAGGACCTGTCTTGCCGCGTTTCAAAGCTGCTAGAGGACGACCATTGGACGCCTTTTGTATATCATAACAAAAGATCTGAGCTCCTGTCTGTATTTGAATGTGTAAATTGAACACAGACCTTTTATTAATTACCCTAACGTATTAAACCTGTATATTAAAACTCAATAAAAACTACCGTTTTTTAGAAAAACAGTGTGTACTAACTAAACAGTTCTCATTCCTTTTCATTTACTTGTATTGCAGTTAATAATCCTAATGTTTATAAAATAATAGCTAAATAACCACCCTGTTTGTGACAGCCATTCTTTCTTTTACCCATGATAAGTCCCTTATCATTGCAAATTTTAGTAGTATACCATAAGCACAGTCTACAATTTTTCAGACTACTATAAATCTGTGGAATATACAATTTCATGCAGAACTACAGGTTCCTTGTTGGTGTCTTCGGTCACATGGGAACTGTGCATGCACAGGCCAGCTCCTGACATAACAAAGCTCTTTCCCACTGTTTGGCTTATCTTACCACCCAAAGTGCCTGTTGAAAGGGCGAAAGCGTTTCCCTCCCTCAGCTCTTCCTTACCTGCTGCTGAAGAAGGACTTTATCTCTTTCTCACACATGTCTTGGCTCCCGCTGAAAGAAAAAGGATAGTAGTTAAATTGTTTTCTGTCTCTTCAGTTTTAATCGTTTAGACTCTCCATGGCTTTGAAAGGCTTGCTTAAGAGGTGTTCCAGATGTGGAACCACGATGGCCCAGTCAGATACCCTTGTTGCTTGCTTCTTTTGCTTTAGGGAAGACCACACCACCTCTAGGTGTGTTGTCTATAGGAGTGCCATCTACAGGGCTTCACACCATAAAGCCAGCCTCAGGGGAAATGCCTTGAAAAAAGCAAAAGGGTCTCCAGTATGCTCCAAAGGAAAAGGAATTTCTAGGTGTGTTGTCTATAGGAGTGTCGTCTACAGGGCTTCACACCATAAAGCCAGCCTCAGGGGAAATGCCTTGAAAGAAGCAAAAGCATCTCCAGTATGCTCCAAAGGAACACCCAATCTGTACTTCCTTTGTTCCACTGGCCCTGGCTCCAGCTGTTCCATCAGTTTCCACCACTCTTTTGATTCCTACAGCTCCAGGGCCTGTTTCAAGGGACCTATTCTCCCCAAGAAGTCAATCAGTCTGAGCCTTTGACCAAAAAAAAAAAGTCAAAAACTAAGCATTTGGAATAGACTCCCTCGATCACCTCATTGGGCAAGTCTAAATCCTCCCATAAGAGGAAAGGAAGCTCTCCAGGACCTTTGGTTCAAAAACAACCCTCAGATCCAACACTGGTTCTGAAGATGCTTTCACCAGTGCTGTGACTCAGAAGGGGAAATTATAGAGTGGGAAGAACTGCTGTTACCCTGTTGCCTCCATCCCCTCAGAGGAGATTCACAGTGCATGAAGATTCTAGGGACTGAGCAAAGTAGACGCCTCCAACCCAGGTGTACTCCAGCCCCAGTAGCTACCTGTACCACTACCGGTATTATCAGAGCCATTATGTACCTCAGGGGTATGGTTATCACCATGGAGGCCCTCCTCATCTTTACTCCCATCATTTTCATTATTCAGACTACAACTTGAACCCTTACTGTCTGCCTCGTCCTGAGTTAAGGCTCCCAAGTCACCATCCCCCTTTCTAGACTCAGAGTACACCTGATGACGCCCCAGTTGAACAGGGACATCCTTGGAAGCAGGCATGGTTCTGACTTGGAATCAGACTTTGCTTCAGAACCATTGCTGTCACAAGATGTGGCCAAGGATTTGGTTCCATCACCTAGTGAAGACCTTTGTCTGTATTCTGAGAGTTCACATGGCATATCTCAACTTAATTCCAGATGAAAAGAGACATCTGGCAAGGGTGTTGTGGGAGCCAAATGGCAAATTAACACAGGCACATTGCTGATTGCTCAGCTTGCTCTTTAGCCTCTGCTGTCAATCTCAGGTAACATGCCTGGTTAAAGTCTACAATCCTGACCCCACACCATCATGCTAGGGTGGAAGATTTGGCCTTTGAGGACACTGATCTCTTCAGTTCTACCACTGAGTCACTTAGGGTATCACCCCAGTTTATTCTAACCTTGGCCCCGGTCACATGGGCCGGATATCGCGGGGGGAGGCGTGGCTAATTACCCCGGCGCAGTTTAATCCGCGATTACGCGATCAGACGCGCCGGCGGCACACCACAGGTCCATCCCTCCACGCCGGTGGGTAAACGAGGGTGGCAATCACGCGACAATCCTGCGGCACGGCACGATCACACCAGCAATGGCTAAGCGCCGCTGCTGTAACAAACGGGGTCATTTATTTTTTTAAGCCGAAACGGCACTTTCGCTTTCCTCTTTGTGCGCATGCGCCGTTGGGTGCTTGTGCGCATCTTGTGGAGACTTGGGGGGGGAAACCTGTTTGCAAAGGGACATGGGCGGGCGCCAGATGCCACCACCAGAAACGCAATCAGACGCCAGCCCTTGCCCCGCGGTTTCCGAAAACTAGTACCTCAGAGGTACTAGTTTTTAACTCCGCATCTTCGGCGGGAAGCCTCGGGTTCGCCACGGGAGCTCAACGTTTCCCAGATGTTGCAGTGTGATCACGCCCGGAAAATCCGCCTATCTTCCGTCTCTGTAGCGTGGCTAATGCTCCGTGTGATCGCAGCCCTTTATAAGCAAAAGGCTTATCCTAAGCCTTATTTTCCTACCAGAAGATACTGCAGGTATCTGGGGCAACAATCTCACCTCAGCTGTACACTTCCCCACTCTTCCTCTCAGGCTCAGCCAAGGCAGAAATTTTACTACTCTAAACCCAAAGAGGGCTCAAATTCCCCCAAAGCTCCTCAAGGTCAGGAAAACAGAGTTTTTTACTCTCTGGCCTGCATCCCTTCAAGGACTGCCTTGTCCAGGTTTGCCCATATGTTGAATGGGTGCTCTCTGTTGTTCGACAGTTCAAAAGTGCCCCTGGTTCTGTTTCTCCATTTGCCTTGCCTCTTCCAACTCCTGCCTTACTTCAACAAGAGGGTTTCCCCCCCCCCTTTTGGAGGAAGCCATAAAGTAAATCCCACCTTCCTCTGCAATAGGAATTGTTTCTCCCTAAAGGAAACACAAGGCAAGCATTGGATTCTAGACCTTTGTTACTTATACAAGTTTGTTGCAACTGTTAGGCCCTCATGTTTGGTTCGCTACTGTAGATCTACAGGATGCTTATTTTCATGTTTCAATAAAGAAAAATTGCGTACTGTTCCTGCATTTTTATGGTGGACATCTGTTGCTCCAATACAATGTGCTGCCATTTAATCTTCACAAAGATGCTGCCAGCGGCAGCTGCCCAGCTCAGAGAAAGACATTGCAGCATTTCCCCAAACTTCGATGACTGGCTAATTTCTGCCCTCTCCAGGGAGGTTCTGTCTTCTCACATTCATTTAGTTTTGTACACTCACTATTACAGTCCTGGGAAGAAGTTTTTCATTCACAGACTAATTCTAAAACCCCTGCACTGGTGTGCTGCTCAAGTGAATCTCCTAATGGGTTTTGTATAGCCTGATGCTTTCCCATATTTCCCTAGTTTGGAATGCTGTTCTTATAGGCTGGGGAGCTCAGTGGGCAGTGGCCTGTGGTCCCCTCACAAACAGCCCTTCACATCAACATTTGAGAGCTCAGGGCAATTTGTTACGCATTTGCAGTCTGTCTTTCCAGGGCCCAAGGGGAAAATGTGCAGGTATGCATGGACAGCTCTACAGCCATGCACTATATCAAAAAGCAGTGGCACAGTCTTTCTAGCCCTGTGTCTGGAGCTTGACCCTATCTAGGAACAGTCCATTGTCTACAACATGGGCTTGCATGCAATTCACATTGCAGGGAAGGAAAATGGGTTGGCAGACGCTTTAAGCTGTGCCTCTCGAGAGAGTCACAAATTGCTCCTATCCAACAAAGTTCTTCACCCCGTTTGCTCGGTGAGGAACACCTTCCATATACCTCTTTCCTCTTCCCTCAATTCCAAATGCAAGAGGTTATGTTCCTGGGCAAGGAGGGACCCACAATCCATTGGGGATGCCTTTCAGATCCCCTGGCACGGAGATCTGTTCTGTACCTTCCCCCATCTACCTCTGATCACCCAAACCATCAACAAAATGCTTCTGGATGAGACATCAGCCATCCTCATAGCACCCTATTAGCCAAGACAAAGTTGGTTTGTCACTCTGACCTTCTTGGCCAACAACAGAGTTTATTCTTTCCCTCATACTTTGGAACTCCTTCCCATCAGAGATCTCTTCCATCACAACCTACAAGACCTGAGACTAATAGCCTGGCCTCTCCTCCCCGAACTGTAGCCTTCTCCTTGTTTGTTCAGAATATCCTGGCTGAGGCCACAAACCTGTCCACCAGGAAGTCCTGGGGCCCTAAGTGATAAAGATTTACTTCCTGGTCAAGGGACTCTGGAATAAACCCAGACAATTGCCCTCTCTCATCTATTTTGGATTACCTTGTATCCTTAAAAGATAAGGGGCTAGCTAAGTCCATCAAAGTCCATGTTGCAGCTGTTTTCTGTATTCCATGCCCCTATCCAAGGGAATCTATATTTGCTTAGGCAGAATCTAAAGTTTTCCTCAAAGGCTTGGGCAACATTTAACCTCCTCCCACCCTTCAGTGGAGCTTGTCCCTGGTGCTCTCCATACTCATGGCTAAATTCAAAGGCTTGGGCAACATTTAACCTCTTCCCACCCTTCAGTGGAGCTTGTCCCAATTCCCTGGTGCTCTCCATACTCATGGCTAAACCTTTTGAGCCATTGGCAACCTCTTTCTTGCAACTCTTCTCCATCAAGGTGGCCTTTCTGATCACTACTACTTCAGCTAGAAGGGTGAGTGAGATTCAAGCAGTTAAATCAAGCCTACCTTTCCTTAAAAATTCATAAGGACAAGGTGGTTCTGTGTCCTAGCATTCCCTTCCTGCCTAGTGGTTTCCTCCTTTCACGTGCTCCCAATAATTTTTCCTTCCCCAAAAGACATGAAGGAAAAGGCTCTACACTCACTCAATGTCAAAGAAGCCAAATCCATCTATTTACACAAGACCACCCCTTTCAGGAAAGATACTAACCTTATCATGGTCTTTAGGGGCTCAAAGAAAGGTTCTAAGATCTTCACTCATGCAATCT